AGAGTTGAAGTAAGAGATGGCCTCACTATAAAAATATGGGAAGATCCTTGGATACCTTCCATTCAAACAGGAATCCCAAAACAAAAGCATGGAGTTAATTGTGGTTTGATCTGGGTGCACCAACTATTGAGTTCTGATGGTAGAAGGTGGAACAATGACTTGCTGCAACAATATTTTGATGATCAAGAAATCAGAGCCATTAAAGATTTTACAACTCTTGATCCCCTCCAAAAAGACAGATGGAAATGGGCCATGGACTCAAAGGGAGAATTCACAGTTGCAGGTACTTATTCTTTTCTTATTAAAAAGAAGCTGAGGTCTCTTGATGTAGGTGAAAGTAGCAAATCAACTGAAAAAGACAGAAAGGTAAGAAAAAGGAGCTGGACATTAAAAATAAAAAATAAGCTGAAACATTTTTTATGGAAATGCTACACAAATACCTTGCCTACTAGTCTAAATTTAAAAAACAGAGGCATGGAAATTGATCCCATATGCCAGTGTTGTGGTGAGGATGTAGAATCAGTCGAGCACATATTTCTGCTTTGTCCAAGGGCACAAAGAGTATGGCAAATAGCTCCAGTCCAATGGGATGGTTTAACTAATGATTCAAAATGTTTTAAAAAATGGTGGTGGATGGTTTGCTCTGTTGATAGATCAACAACCTCCCAAGATAGAATTCAACTCACAACATATATTCTTTGGTGGTTGTGGAAATCACGTAATCTTTGGAAATTTAAAAACTCTATTATTCCTGAAGCTGAAGTCATTAAGGCTGCTTTAAAAGATTGGAATGAATTCAGGAGCTGTTAAACTTTGCTGATGGATTGCTAGGTCCTTATAAGGTTCAGTGGTGATCTATTAGCCAAGCTGGACTTACTTCTGGGTTTTTACAGATGAAGAGGAAGCTGCTAAAGTTTACTGCCTTTTTGTTGCTGCTTTAGCTAGCATATTGCTGGAGAATGGATATTATCCCTTATTTTGATATGTAAATACTGCTATTTGTCAGCCTTTAGGTTGCTGTTGTAGGGAAACAATGTTGTGGATCCCTTATTGTTTTGTTTTGTTCAGATTGGGGTCAGTTGATCCCCGGGATGTAAAACTATTCTTATTATTGAGTAATAAAATCTACCGTTTTGAAAAAAAAATGTGTTTATTAGTCATTTTAATTTTAATGAGCAATCAATAAACAAATATAATTTGTTGGTTAATTCGATTCGCTATATTATGCGTTGAATGGTTGAAATTTAAATTTGAGTATAACACGATTCTATTTTCCAACAGTTCAAAAAAATATATATATATAGAGGAGATCATATGAGAAAGGGAGATAGTGAAAGAAATAAGAATAATTGTAGGCCACTAGATTCATCAAATTAATAGTCATGATGAAGTCAAACATTAATAATGTCAGTCAAACATAGAGTGGCAATACTGTAAATAAGTGAACATGTTGGGATAAATATACACAATTAACCATTAAGTAAGGACAAAAATGACATTTCTAATCTCCACTCATCCACCCACGTGGGTCCCACCCATCCCACCAACCCTCACCCTCTCTCATACACAAACAAACATTCTTTCTCTCACATATATACGCACAAACAGACCACATACATAGTACCTCTGCCGTGAGCTATTTCATTCCACCGCCGCCCGCCAGTTCCAGTTCCACCGTCGGCCGCCAGTTACACCGCCATTATCGTTGCCACCTTCTTCCATCTATTACGACGTCTGTCATCTTCCCTACGGCTGCGCAGAAGGTCCAGCTCCCCGTGGATGTTGCCGTAAATAATGTCTGACTCTCGAACTCCGCCGTCTTCGTGACAGAGAACGCCGTTGCCGGTAGATTCTCGTGCATCTCCCTTCGTGTGACCCTTCAAGTTGTACTTTTCGTGGCTCGGTGCCATCATTGATATCGAGGTACAGTTTGAAATTGGAGTATGATGGCTTCCTCCTGGGCGAGGATATTCTCCGGCGACGTAGAATCAAACTGCGGAACGAACAGTGGCGGCGTGGCTTGTGGAGGAAGGTGGTGTTGCAGCAGATCCAATTTAAAATTTTGGGCCTTCAAATTGAAAATTTGACAACTCATAAGGGCTTAGTTGCAATTCTAGAAAGTTTGATATATTACAATTTGGTTCACTGGTCAAATGTATAATTTATAATAATATATCAAAATGCACAATATTGATAAAAAAAAAAAAAAATAGATACACAATATTTGAGTGTGTATGCGCACATTATTATTATCAAAAGAAAAAATAATACAACAATGTTAACATACTGCTGAGTGTACAATATTGTTCATCGCCCGGTTTGGTCAAACCGATCGACCGAAATGTTAAAATTTTTGTTCTTCGCTTCTCTATTTTTTGCAATATGTTAGACATTTATGTGCAATCCGTATAATCTTAACGTGAACTCGCAATACATAAAAAATATAAATAAAAAATAGTATTACTTTTCATGAAAAAAATTGTAACTCTTCGTATAGTTTGTCATGTTATATTATTTTGTCTATTTTAAAAAACTATATCTGACATTCAACCGATTAATATTAATTGATCGATTAGCAGATTTACTGTAATTTTGGTAGGTGTATCGTGTCGTTTTATAAGGTACAACTATTGTGTTATAATGTGCAACATATTGTTGTATAAAATACAACGCATTGATATATAAAGTGTAAGACTGAAATTCAGTATGTTAGCATGCTCTTTTCTTTTTTCTTTATTTTTTTTCTGTAGATAGATGATGTGATAGATATTCAAGTATTTTGTAGATCCGTTTAGATTTATACTGCATAATATTTTAAAGGGAGTTGTTTGACATTAATTGTAGAGCATGATGATAAAGTGGAATATGTTGTTTTATAAAGTGCAACTGATTGTTTTATAAAGTGCAATGAGTTGTTTTTACAAAGTGTATCATTTCGTTGTTGTTTTATAAAGTGCAATTAGTTGTTTTATAAAATGCAATGAGTTATTTTATAAAGTGCAATGAGTTGTTTTATAAAGTGTAACATTCTGTTATATAAAGTGCACTAATTTATATCTTTTCAAAGAAAATGTGTATTCGAAAACTGGTTTTAATAGATATTACTAAACATCGAATAAAACTAAATAATTAAAATATAATCTTATTTATTATTTTTATTATTTAATATCCTAATTTATTGTAATAATATTTTAATATTTTATATTATTTTTATTTAATAATTTATTTAATATTTAATATATAAGCATAAAAGGATATCTTCTCTCTTTATGTCAACTTCGTCGAGCCTCATTCGACAAATATAAAAAAAATATTTTTTTATTAACTTTCAATAATTACAAATTTGACCTAGGGGTTAAATTGAAATATAATTAAAATTATCAAAATTACAAATAAGTCCCTAGACTTAATCTAATTTTCAAAAAATATGCCCAACCCACAGTCCAATTTCTGATTTCAAGTCGCCGGAATTTTTTCCGACCGGAGCCTTTATTTTCGCCGCCGTTCTGACCGCCGAAATCCCGGTGAAAGAATAGTGTCGACGATGGCTGTGCAGGAGCTACCGGTGTTTTCATGTCCGACCACCATCACTGAAAGTCTTCCTTCTGAGTTCCGACTAACCGCTGGAAGCTTCTTTAGACGCCGGAGATCACGTTTCATTCCACAGGATACCCGATGTCGAGGTGCTTCACGGAGATTTCAACTCGTGTATCAATGGCCGATTTTTATCGGGATGTCGTCGCCGCGTTTCCTCAATAGAAAATAACCCTCAATGTCGGCGAACGGTGTTGCTTCCATCGTGAATGGAGAAGAAGCTGCAATACGGTAACGGCGGCACCGTCAAGAGCTGTGACGGGCCGTGGTGCGGCCACTAACGGACGACCGTCGAGCTCCCGGAAGGTGGCGACTGATGTTCGCTGGTGACGGTGGTGCGTGTCGGTAGCCAGGTTGCAAAGTCGGGTTCACCGAAAAATACGCCGGCAGCAGAGAGGTATGCAGTTGACGGGCATGGTGGTTGAGGGAGAGAGAGATAAAATCGTGAGAGAGGGGATGTGTGAGTTGTGGGTGGGGCCAGCGTTATAATTAAGGTTGGTAGATAGATTAGGTGGGAGCTATATTAAATTACAGTGGGCTCATTTATTTGAATGTAATATACAAAGTTACTATACTGTCCTTAATGCAGATATATTTTGAGCTTTTTCATAAGCGTTGGATCATGCGATCTAATGGTTACAATGTATTCTTATTTCTTTCACTATACACCATTCTCATGTGAACCCAACCATATATATATATATATATA